GGTAAACTAACAGTTTGCTATGGAAAATCACCATTTTTAATGGGAAAATCCACTATTCATGGCCATTTTCAATAGCTACGTTAAATTACCAGAGGGTAGTTTAGTCCATGTCAGGACATTCACTTACCCATCCTTAGGCATTTTGGCTTTCACTTTCACCATACCCTACTGTGGATGGTTGCGAAATCCCAGTTGATAGGTGGTAAACATCCCACTATTCATAAAGGGTTTCAACATGTTTCAACCATCCAAGGTGGTGCAGGATTTCTTCCATCCACAGTATCTCTTTTCATATCACATTCCACTGCTGCGGTGATGTTCCCTTGACTTCTTGGTGATGTAGCCATGGCGCCATGGCGCCCTGAGCTACGAACGGTTTGCCACGACTAGTCAAGTCGTTGGTTGTATGACGGATCGAAACCATGGCGCCTTGCTCAACAAATAACCTGCAAAATGGATCGTCTCAAAAAATATATCTCCAAATTTGGTCTTACAAGTCTTGACCCATCAGAATATCGCCATCTTCCCCCCAAAACCACAGGAAACTTCACACCCCACCGCGCTGGCCAGTTGTTTCAAACCATATAGAGCGGAAGGCTCTGGAGTCAGCGCACACCTCTTGCCATGACTCGCCGCAAAAGGTGGATTTGAAGCCGTCCGGGAGTGGCACCACAATAGAAACACAAGGGTTGAATGGTACTTCTGATGAAGGATTTCACGTGAATGTACAAGATGGGGCCCCCGTTCGATAGCTAAGTTGGTTTATAATTCCAATAACTATGGCTAACTATGGTTTATGATACTTGTAACTGTAGTTAATGGGGTTTATAAACCAACTTATAACTGGGGGGCACCATCCTGTATCTTATATATATATATAAATATACATAAAGCAAACAAACAGGATCATGATCTGGGTTGGGCTCAAGAATATTCGGCTCAAAATGACACAAACATCTCATATTTGGCAAACGGAAGAGAACAACGATTGATGATCCCGAGCCAATCCGGAGTTCTTCTTCTAATTCAGGAATCCAGTTCAAGTAAATTGCAAATTGAAAACACAGCGATGGGTACACTGCGCATGTGTCCAGGTCTGAACATCTGATCTGACTCTGATCTCTTCAGCGCTCAGCAGAAGCTTCCTCTGCTTGGTGGTTCATCCCACGAATCGTAAGTGGGTTAGTTCACCCCAGTGATTTCAGTGGATTTACCCTACAAAAATCCCATGTAAATCACTGGGGTTATAAACCACTTACGATTCGTGGGATGAGCCGCTTCCTCTGGAAATCACAAATCCTGCGAGTAGGTCCACTCTTGGTTCCGATTTCCTGGGCGACGACAAATCTTCCAACAGACTCTGTGTGGGGTTTGAGGGATGAGAAGAGAATAAAACATGTGCTGTGCAAAAAAATGAAGTGTGCTGATCACCGACCGCGACCGCGAAGACTTATCCTCAACATGTATCGAAAGACATTACATAATATATATATATGCATATATATAATGTAAAATCGACGTTATAGACGCTGAAAAAATATCGACACACATGTAATTCTGCAATATATTGAAACCTTCTGACCCCTTCAGTTGCCCTTCAGTTTCAGGAATCTTGGGATTCACCAGCCAAACCACCAATCGTTGGTTCATATGTTGAACATTTCTAATCAATGACACATTTTGAATAGTTGGTTCATACATATTTGAATACATACTTGAATACTTACCAAAGATTCTAGTATTGAGGGTTATAGAGTTATAGAGGCGCAAAAACTGACCCAGAACATATCAAGACATTACCACGGTTCCAATGTGGCAGAGGAAGATTTGTACCTCAGTCAGACACGGCAGCCAGCAACACATCCATAAATGGGAATGGCTGAATGACTCAAATTTATGTATGCATCTATATAATTTTTTATCTAGATATAGATATGTACATACATACTTGAATACTTATAATGAGAAATTTTGTGCGTCCTTTGATATCACATTTCTTTGAGCAAAAGCCAACGGACAGGCAAAGTCCACCTATAACCGAGATTGAAACACATTTGGTCGGTTAGATAGTTGGTAAATTAAATGTTTAGTCAGTCATACCTCACAAGGTGGTGCCCCCCAGTTACAAGTTGGTTTATAAACCCCATTAACTATAAAGTACCATAAACCATAGTTATTGGAGTTATAAACCAACTTAGCTAACTATGGGGCACCACCTTGCAGTTGATTGGTGATCAAGTAGATGTTCTGCCAAAGCTAGGTGGATTTGCATTTTGAACACAGTTTTTCCCTGCATCATGTTGATCGCGCGACAGCAGTATTCTATCTCCATACTATATGCCCCTATAAGGGTCAAGTATCTCCTGAGGAAATATTCTGGGGGTGATTTTGGGTGTTAACTACCTTCTCAGGTGGTATTAGTTGGATCTATACAGGGACCAATGTTTCTTGCTTAAACATGTTGAAGATTCAATTTGTATCAAAAACTGGGAGAGAGGACTAAACGAATAACGCGCCCTCTGATAATAATCCCTCTCTTATAAATCTTATAATCCCCTAGTGACTTTTCAACTGGGTTTAGACAGCTTGGCTGTCTGGTCTGTCCCAACGAATCTTCCCCAAAAAGATGCAAAACAGTGTTTCCAGCCTGGGAATGCTCCATGATATTTACCAAAAATATGTCCAGGTTTCCCATTGGCTGCAAACTCTTTTTTGGGAGCTGCAAAAAAAACCTCTGGTAAACTGACAAAAAACTATTGAACATGGCCATTTAGTTCGTGGATTTACCCATTAAAACTTGTGATTTTCCATAGTTATGTTAAATCACCAGAGGGTAACATTTGAGATTGCATTGAACTCGATCAAAAAATCAACCATGCATTGCGCCGCGTCCAAGCCGTCCCACACGTCGTCCAAGTGACACGCCCTCCGATGGTGTCGGGTTGGGCTGCATCCAGACACTGATCGAGGTTCTTCAGTTTCACCTGTGGAACCCCATCGTTTTATGCGGATACCAACCATAATATGGCTATATACAGTAATGGGCATGCAATATCAACATATACATATATACATATAAAGACGATATAGTGGGATATAGAACGAAAATAAACAAACTATACATATAATATATATACATGGATTTTGCTTAAGGAACCACCAAAACGTAAAAATCATGCCCTATAGATTCCCCAAGTAGTGGATTTCCCATGGAAAAACAATAAGGGATATAATCTGACCAACAAAAAATGTTGCTTCATTCACAAATGATGGGGACTAAAACTATGAAATCTGGGCAAAATCTGGCGTATTCAAGTGCCAATTAATTGTAATAATTTGATGTAATTTGCCCATGAAACTGCGTAGAACCCTGATCGGAACCGACCAAAATGAACATCTAATCAACAAACATGGATATACTGTGGATGGAAGAAATCCTGCACCAGTTGATAGATGGTTTATCCCATTATTTCTAGGGTTTCAACCATCCAAGAAGGTGCAAGATTTCTATAAATTTCTTCCATCCACAGTATCATAAGGAACGACCGTATTTCACATGGCTAACCATAGATAACCCCGGAGAAAAAAGAGTTGGTTCATGTTGGTTCGTGTACATATCCTCGTTGCCAGAAAAAAAAAGCACTGAGTCCTATCCAAGATTGACAGTGTGGTCAAGATATGGTGGGATATGGACATCTCACCATCATTGAGATCTGTATAACCATAGGTGGATGTTTATAGACCCTGAACCATAAGGTTATTTAATATACCTATTTATACGGATCTATAAATATACCTATTACAGATCCATATAAACAACCAAATACCATAGGCGATATGGTTATTTAATAGGTATATAGATCCATATAAATCAATGCCGGATTAATAAACCCCAAACGGCTGGTTCATTGGGAAGGTACTTCCTAAAAAAGTATCAAATCATGACTATTGGGGGAATACCCCCCTAATAAACCATGGTTTAGCAAAATCCGGGGTTGACATTATTCTTGAATTGATAACCATCTTCCCCAATAACTTTTGACCATGTTTTGACCATGTTTTGACAATGCTTTGACCGTAGAACAAAAACTTTCAGCGAGATCAAGTTCTCTTCACGAAACGGTAGAACCAATTCGCAGTCAGGTAAATCCTCGCGGATGTCATTGGTTCAAGCACACAGTGTTGTGGCGACACCAAACAGATTTCTAGAAAACTATAATAATTAGCTAATTACTTTTCTATCCTTTTGAGGGTTACTATAATCATTGTGTTCTATTTGTTTCGCAAGAATCGTCGACTCGTTTTTATTTTTTTAGCCAGATTCCGGTATATATTACATACAAGAAGTGACGCACACACAAATATCATACTTGCATGATCTTGCATGCATATTATGTTCGGAATACATGCGCATACTCGTTGGCTGGAACTCCATTATTCTGTGATATTCTGTGTATTTCCAATGTCCACTCCACTCCTGTGAAATCATCATATCAATCAGAACGTTAGCAGAAGTTCTTGCCGGTCAATCCGATGTTCATCGCAACCCGCCCCAGTTCTCACCAATCCTTGCCCTCTGATGTCAGCGCACCTGCTCTGAGTCTGTATTGTACCTCAGTGGCCGTGGGCTTGACATGATTTGCTGAGAATCTGATTTTTGTTTGAACTACCCTCTGGTCAACGTTTACATAACTATGGAACATCACCATTTATAGTGAGTTTTCCCATGAAAAATGGTGATTTTCCATAGTTATGTTAGCTTTCCAGAGGGTACTTAGGACCCAACCAGCTGCCCTTTGTCATATGCGGACATAGCAATCCATCATGGTTCTGACTCTGACTGCTGGGACGACCGATGCTGACCATGGTCACTGAGCCGCTTGGGATCAAGTGGGTCGTCATTTTTTGGGCATTGTTTCCTATGTTAATCTGCTTGGTGGTTGGTGCTAACCCCTCTGAAAAATATGAGTCAGTTCGTCAGTTGGGATGATGACATTTCCCAACTGAATGGAAAGTCAAAAAAATCCATGGTTCCAAACCACCAACCGGCATTCATTAACTATAGTTATATCTACCATAACCCATAGAATTCAGCCACTTATAGATTCCAAACCACCAACCAGATTTAAATCCCTATTTAAATCTCGATTTTCATGGATCACTCCTCCAATATGGGTGTATAATATTGTATCATCCTCGTTTTGATCGTGGCACGTTTCATGGCCAATTTTAGATACCCTGCAAAATAATAATTTCTTAGCTGGTGAACGTAGATAATCCCACTGATACCATCTAAGATTGACCTACAAGGTGGTGCCCCCCAGTGATGTTTGTTGGTTTATAAACCCCATGAATACTATAGTTATTTGCGTACCATAAACCATAGTGAAATTGGAGTTATGTTCACCAACTTAGCTAACGAACTGGGGCACCACCTTGTAGATTTGGGGTACAGTCCACTTGGCTTTCAGACTCCTTGGACAAAAAAAAACAGCGCGCCAAGAGGCTCCCAGCTTTGCGCGGAGGAGTCATCGAGGCAATCACCCATGGCCACCGGAATACCTCACAAGATTTCATGAAAAAAGTTGGGAGTTTTGTGACAAACATCATGATTTAAGCAGGCCCAAATAGGGAATTTGTCCGTGATTTCTGCTTTGTGATAGAATGTGAGGCCCCCCAGTTATAAGTTGGTTTATAAGCCCCAGTAACTATAGTTATAAATACCATGAACCATAGTTATTGGAGTTATAAACCAACTTAGCTATCTTGGGGGCCTCTCATTGTAGAATACTTTAGGGAAATTCCCATGGAGATAAAGCAACCATTTGTGGGATTTAACCTGCAACAAATGTAATTTAACCAGTAAAAATTGGGAGGTTAACCAACAAGGTGGTGGCGGCCTAAAAACCAGCAATTTCCTGGGCTTATATCCCCTGGTAATTCAACATAGCTGTGGAAAATCACCATTTTTACATATTATTGCTAGGTAAATCATCATAAATCATCTAAAACAATGTTCATTTCCCGTAGCTGCGTTAAATGACTAGAGGGTAGTGAGATACTTCAAGGGATTTGCCGTTGGCTCTAGGCAGCTTGACAGAAGCCTGAGAAAGCAATCTCAGGAATCTCTGCAATGTTGGATTTCGGTCAGATTGGTGTCCAAAACAATGAACGTCAACCAACTGAAATGGTGAATGAAACAGGATATTTTGTGACTATCAACCAACAGGTTCGAATGGCACACATGATGATGCACTTTTGCTTTTGAATTCTGGGATACTCAGTTTTTGACAAACTCTGTGGGATTGTGGAGCTTATGACCAATACAGCAATGACTACCCCTCTGGTAAACTAACAGTTTGCTATGGAAAATCACCATGCTATTCATGGGCAAATCAACTATAAATGGCCATGTTCAATAGTTTTTTGTATGTTTACCAGGCCGGGTATGTGACGTGAATATATTACCCACAAAACATGGGAACGATTGGTACGCCGCTTGCGTCCGGGCTATACCCTGACACAGGTGCTGGCGTCCCAGCTCCCAAAACGGGATCCAGTGCCTAGAGGAACTCCCAAAAGGTTACAATGTGATCCCCGTGTTGTAAGTTGGTTAAAAAAACCCAGTAACCATATGTGGTTGGTGGTTGACCTACCCCTCTGAACAATATGATGAAATTCCCAATATATTCATGGAAAACTCACTGGACAAATCCAAATATTAATGGGAAACATATGGGGCCCCATATATGGAAAGTCATAAAATTCCATGGTTCCAAACCACCAACCAGATATATATATATATATAGAGAATATATCCACCATAGCCATGCATTAGATCAATGACAAACTCAGCCAACCCTCGGGGCCAGCTGGGTGGTTTGATTCGCCACATTAACAATGTTCATCGGGCCCCCGAATAGCAATCGCAAAATCAACTTGGAACTTGGCGAAGGTTTGGTCTTTATGGGGATTATAACATATCATATATTGTGGTCAAAACAATAATGAACTACCCATTTGGGGAATGGTAAACATACCACCTATAAAGATGGTGATGACTGGGGGATGGTATATTATTGTTTTAACCACATTATTGTAACTATAGTTTTCAGGTTCTAAACATGTCTAAACCAACAAACATAATATACATAATATATATAATATAACATATTATATAACATATCATAGTTTTCAGGTTCTAAACATGTCTAAACCAACAAACATTACGGTTGGCCCTTTATTGTATACATCCCCCAGGATGTGTCAAGTTGCCAATCGCTTGCGTCTCCAAAACAGGAAGGCCCATAGCCTGGCTTGAGGAACCCCCTAAAAACTAAAACGATTCCCTCAATGTTAGTACAGCAATAACCACCCATCTATTTCCATGGTTTATACCACCAGATATCACCATATACCACCTATGTATAAATATATTGTGGTTAAAACAATAATACAGTACCCATTTGGGGGATGGTAAACAGACATAAACATACCACCTATAAAAATGGTTATGACTGGGGGATGGTTTACTAGGATTTCCATTGGGAAAGAAAAAGCAACATTGAGCAAATCCAGGTGGTTCATTGCTCTTTCACACACAGAATCCACATCCCCCATATGAAACACCCCTTGGAAACCATAGTTTCGTAGGGGGATTTGCACATACTTGTGCCCTTTTTAAATGCGGGTGCTGGTTTTCATGCAGGGGGATGGGATGATGAACGATGTTTTTCATCGCCTCAACAGATGGATACACTTTTTTTTTGACCGTCTGACATATCAATAGTTGAGACACATTAAGCTGCAAGCTCCAAATACCAGTGAGCTATCATAGCTACATATTCTTGAACACATATTAATAGATGTTTAGACTGACTGGAAAGTCATGAGGCTCAGCTCTGCCAGGTGCTTCTCCAGCTTGAGCCAATGCCCTTATCCAAAACCGATTGCTGTGTCCAACTAAATTTAGCTAATTGTGATATTCACAAGACCAAAGCCGCACCTATCATAGCCTCAAAAGGCCCGTGCTTAGACTTGAAACCATGATATAGGATGAGTTTCTAGCCTTTATTCTTGCTTAAAGTCCCATCTTTGCCAATAGGATTAGCTCCTCTTCTGATTCTTATCTGGGCGGTAGTTGAGCCACACCCCTGCGAGAAAACTTGTTGGGGATCATCATTCCACCTGTTGGGATGAAAACCAAACCACAATTGCAACCACAAACCAGAGACATCCACAGACCAGTCATTGGTTGGCTAGACAATTCAAATTGAAGGTTAGTTGCACCACTTTTAATTTTCACCCCTGAGCTTAAACACCCACAAAGGGGAACCCCTAGATAGGCTAGATAGGTAAATGGCAAGCCATAACTAGGTGGATGTATCGACAGTTGGGTGCACATAAACCAACTTAGACCGGGGGTGCCACACCGCATATCTCCGAGGCTGTCAAATCCATTCAAGAAACAATGTTCATTTGCAAAAGAAAATAAAGTGCTGCTCAAAATCTGGGTGTGTCTTAAGTTTGGGTACTCATGATTTACAACATCATGTCCGGCATTCAGAACGTGTTTTTATTTTAATAGGGGGTATGTATACACCCCAAATGAGATTTCTCGTCATACATCCACTGTAACTATCCCACTATATCCTCAATATGTGCATTTTTCGTTGGTCAAGTCCCACATTGTTCTTTCACAAACACACATATTGAGAGAAGCAAACATTATTAAGCCATTATTAAGGCCCTACTAAGAACATATTGGTGTTGCATCCTCCATTTTTGCGGGCTAGCATATTGTATATTGTATCCCAATTTCCCGATAAAATCCCCAATCCCACCCCAGAAAGGACAAATTAGGTAAAATCCAACCAAAAACACATCAATTGCTGTTCATTTTTTGTGGTGGAGGTTACTCAAAACCCCTTCGAATTCTGGGTGGTTCCCAGCTCCTCTGCTAAAAGTTCAACTTCTACAATGTGAGGCCCCCAATATAGCTAAGTTGGTGAACATAACTCCAATAACTATGGTTTATGGTATTTATAACTACAGTTACTGGGGCTTATAAACCACCTTATAACTGGGGGGCCTCACATTGTAGTCACTAGAGTTTATCTAAATCACCATTATCCCCAAAGAAACGAACAAAGTCTACGGGAGTGGCTGGGTTTTCACCCCAACTTCGACAGCCTCCAGGCAGAGTCCGTTGCGGTCTCTCAGCTGTCCACTGCTCGTGTTGTAGATCCACCTGGACCCAACGTCGCTACGTGCCGCCCCGACGTGGGCAGGTGTCAACTTATAAAGGAGTATACTTGGTGGTTATAACCCCAGTTATAAGTGTATTAACCCTACTTATCCCATTTATAACTGGGGTTATAACCCACTTACCAAGTGGGATGAACCACCAAGTAGCTACATATGGCTAGTGTTACAGCTAATTGGTGGTTTCAACATGTTTCAACCCCCTGAAAAATATTAGTCAGATTGGATCATCATCCCAGACAGTAAACATGAAGTCTACTTAGTATCGCTGATTTCATGGAATATATTAGATATGAATATGCAAAATATGATGGGATGTTAATGGATGCTGATGTTTTCACGGGTAACGAGTATTTAATGGGATATTTGGAGATAATGATGGAACATATAAACTTGATCTGTGCCATGGTCAAGTTACATAGACAAATAAGGACTATGACTATGGTCATCGCACAGGAATCCAATCATAATGGGATATAATGGGTATGTACATCTGAATGGATTGATGACCATTTCCAATTTTTGACATTGCGCAATATGGATGTGTCTGAAAATAGTGTACCCCTAAACCCAATGGTTAATGATCATTATCCCGTTTTTAAATGGCTATTTCATTGGGAATATACCCTATTTTCAGACAAACCCATATGGCCATACCTTGCCATACCCTCTGGTAATGACCAACGTTGTGTTTGCCATGGTATAGATGGCCTGTAGTTCGATGATTTGCCGCAACATTGAACATTAAACATGGTGATTTTCAGGCCCCCCAGTGATGTGAACGTTGGTTAACAAAAGCCCCAGTAACTATAGTTATAAATACCATAAACCAGAGTTATTGGAGTTATCTTCACCAACTTAGCTATCTTGTGGTGATTTTCATCAGACAGTAATGTACAATAGCTCGAAAGTGCGAGATGCAGCGAATCTATAGCTGCTGATGGTGGCTGGTCACCAGCAAAAAAAAACATGAAACATGAATAAAAAATGATGGTTTTCCAAACGTTTTGACGGGATGCGATAGAATACCATGGTGAGTTTGCCACCAAAAGTTGGTACCTGTAAAAAAAGCGCCCCCAAGTAGAACTACTTCGATTTAAGGTGCTAGTTTAGCAACCATGAATACCGTTGAATACCTTTTACTCACCAGATTGTGTCTGCATGCTTTCAAAGAGGATTGTAATTCAAGCGTTAGAAGACCATGACAGGCATTGATAACTATATTATTTTGAGCGAATGTTCGGTTCTGCGAGTATAGCTAGATGGGGTGGTAAACCAAGTTACAACTGGAATGGGCATAAACTAGATAAACCAGGTGGCTCGTGGGCAACGCCCATGTTTAATTATCTCAGTTATATGGACAATTCACAGTTGCATATGGTTCGAAATTACGATGCACTAAAAGGATCTAAAAGGTATAGGATATTTAACCAGCCAAGTATGCGCTGGCAATGGCGGGTGCAGGAGAAATAGAGGTTTCATTGATTTACCCACCCCTTGAAAGGAAATACTGTAACCTCTGGCAAATTAACATCGCTGTGGAAATTAATAATCGCATTATCTTTAAGGTAAATCATCTGTAAATGGACCTAATAGTTAAGTTAAATTACCACAGTGTATTGCTGAAATAATAGTACAGTAAACCTCCCAAAATGTTCTCAGTAAATCATCCCCGATGCAACCCAGATTCGTGTTCTCTTTAAATTCCCACGTTTGATAAAATATCTTTCTGCCAAATCCACATTTCTGCAATCTCAGCATCATCGCCGGTTCAACTCAGTTGTGTGAAATTCTCCCGATATTTTTGGATTCAATTTAATCACTGGTTGGTGGTTTCAGCCCCTCTGAAAAATATGAAAGTCAGTTGGGATTATTCTTCCCAATATATGGAAAAATAAAAGCCATGTTCCAACCACCAACCAGATCATATTTAATCCCACAATCACACTTGGATTCATCAAAATCCCACCAAATAACCCGCTTTGGTGCCCGTGTTTGGCTGGTAAAATCTTCAATTTTTTGGTCAGGTCAAGTCCAGATTTCCTCTTTTGGTAGATGCTTCGATCCTTCCGATATGTCCAGGGCTCCAGGGCTTGAATTTGGTGAATCATCCCCCATTGTTTGTCGCGCAATCTCTTTGGATTGCATGTGTTTGTTTAAACAAGTCCTGGTATTTTACACGTATATCACTCACTATTTCTGAGTGAAATCCCATGATGCCCGTGGAATCCATACATTTTTACTATATGGTGTTTCCTCAGTGAAGCGCAATGTTATTAAAATAGTGCAGTATTAAAAAAAAAAACGAGAAAAAACGTGAACTGCAGTTACTCATTATCACAGATAGGTTCATGAAACTCGACATTCAATAGTGTTCACATCAATCTATATTCCACTGTTTTCTCACTTAAAAGAGTTACACTCTGGTAGACTAACATAGCTGTTGAAAATGGCCATTTACAGTTGATTTACCCATGAAAAATTGTGATTTTCCATAGTTAGGTTAGTTTACCAGAGGGTATATGAAATTCCATCCTAAAACATCCCATTCTGTTGCAATATATTGGGGCACACTGGCCTCAATTTCACGCTGCCACGTACCAATGGCGGTCATCCAGTGGTGCCGAGGCGCAGCTGTGCATCATCGGTGTTGCAGGGCTGTAGCACAGCCCGTCGCTGAAACACTTCCAAGCAGAAGGAGGCGCCCGTGCGAATGCGGCCAATCCTCGGGCTTGAAACGTTGAAGAGAGCGCAGCCACATCTACACAAACCATGTTGATATCTGATGTCTATATATCTATATGCATGTTTTACATAATAAATAATATTCATAAAATATTATTATATATACACAGTGTAGGATGTTTTACATATATGTTGATATGACTTAATATGAGGACACTGACTATGTAGATACTGTACATATGCATAGATATATATATGTGTATATCATAAATAAATAAATACATACATATATAAATATATATATATATATACTCGGGTTCGTTTACATATATGGTGACATGACTCAACATTTGCAGATATGGGTGTATACATAGATACAATCCGAGCAACCAGATAGGGCTATGTGTTTTTCCTTTTTCAATGATATGTACAGATGTATGAGAACGCATTTGACGGTATGATTTAGGGGGTTAGACATATTCTCGAGTAGCATTTTGATCCATAGGGTACAAGTATATATGTATATATACATATATATATATATAGAGGAACAACAAATATGCATGCTCCTCCTTGTTGCCTCAGGTTGAGACGGTGATGTGACAATCATGCTCATGTAGCATCCCAGAAATCACGTAGAAAATTGGCGAGGGAAATTGGCGGGGACCGAGATTGGTACCAGGGGGTACCCCTAGAAGCACACGGTTTATCATTATTGTCCCTAGTAACATGACAATTTTTGGATATACCACATTTTCAAACACACCAATATTAGAGAATATAACTCTACAGTATAGACTATACATAACTCAAAAAAATGATCTACTGTTTTCAGGAATCATTCCAGTATCTCGCCTCAGTCGTTGAGCAATTCCAGGAAATGCATCAGTGTTGGCTGCAGGAGCGCAGTATCAGTATGGAATCAAACATGCCTATAACACACACAAAAAACAACAAACAACATACAAATATATATATATATATATAAATAGTTGTAGAAACAACACACACAAAAGAAAAAACATACATGTATATATAATGATAGAAACAACAAAAAACAGACATGAATATATAATTAAAGGAAAAACTCACACAACAAAAAAACAACATATATAACAAAAAACAACACACACAAAACAAATAACAACATACATGTATATATGATTATAGAAACAACACACACACAAAAAAAAAACACATACATGCATATATAATTAAAGAAAAAATCACACACAAAAAACAACAACAACAACAACAACACCAACACCAACACCACCAACAACAACAACAACAACATATGCATATACAACAAACAACAAACAACAAACAACAAACAACAAACAACAAACAACAAACAACAACAACAACAACAACAACAACAACAACAACAACAACAACATATGCATATACAACAAAAAACAACACCACACACCAAAAAAAACAAAAAAAAACAAGAAACACACACACACAAAAAAAAAAACACATGCATGTATATTTACATAGACACATATTTTATCAAATCAAGATGTACATGTTCAGCAACATTGGATGGTTTGCAGCCAATGAACCAACATCTACGGTCCTATGAATCGTTATTTAAATGTTGTCCCATATCAATCTCCATGTTTCCCAATTGTTCCCCAATTTTGTTCGTAAAATCACATATTATCTTAGTTTGTTAGATCCTATTTTATCTTGGTTGAACAAACACCTTTAACTTGGTCCATGAGTAAAATCTTGGGTTTCTATGAGCTTTCAAGATCTTTCAAGTATTTACCAGCCCTTCTACCAATATTCCCATTATAGTCCCATCAAATTCCAATTATACCACCATTATTTCCACCATTATACCAACCCTTATACCATCAAACGACTTTTCAGATATTCGCAAAGAAATAGGTCAAACTAAACCAATCTCAGAGGGGAGACTGTTGCCATCAAACCCCAGGTCACCCCAAAAACCCAGCAGTTCTTCCAACCATGGCTTTACACAACTGGGGGTCTTGCCTTGACATACGAGTACCATGGAGAACCTGGGCATTGCATTTGGAAATTCAAAGTATATCACTGTTCAATAGTCTTGCTCAAAAATGATTGGCGATCCAATCTCATCACACTATTGAAAAAAGCGTTATCATTTGATTTGATTTATAAACCCCATTAATGGTATATACAGCCCAAGTTTTGTAGTTATAAACCACCTTATCTGACTATAAGGCACCACCTTGTAGGAATACATTATCCACAACGTTTAGCGTCTATCCAGCGCGTCACCTCCTGTGTCAAGCTTCATGGGCACTACACTGAACTGAATGTCCGCCAGTTGCCATCCACTCCTGACGTGGCAAGAGAGCTAGGTATCTGTAGAGCAGTACCCGTCCACCTGGTGCTAAGTAAGTCTAGCTTACTGGATAACCAAGAAAATCTTCCACAAAACTAAGCCGTTATATTTCCACCCAGTCATGTTTGATGAAAGCAAGAAGGTATTCCAATTTTCCCACCCGTATTTTCGTAGTGAAATTGATTTTAAAAATCACCAAATGGCTATGAGTCAAAACCCTGGCACCCTAGAATGGCTGATTAATGGACCTGTATACCCTGGAATGCCAAACCTTGGCTGATTAATGCTATTTAACTAGGTCAATCTTAAATCTTAGATGGGTAGTTTAATCAATTTAGTTTTTTAAAATTGTATCAATGCGATTATCTACTAACCAGCTAAGTTTTTTTTTGCAGGGTATCTAAGATTGGCCATGTCAATAGGTGTTCACCCATCCCCAAATGTGGGTCTTTGAACTTTGCAAAGTTGTCAAATTTTCCCCAACTCGAGCCCCTTCGGAACCACCCAGAAAGCCTGTCACAATTCACCATCCACTCATCATCCAAGGGCGGTGCAGTACCGTCCTTGCCGGGGCATTACAACCATGGCCCTAGGCGCCCTACGTTGGTGGCCGTGAACTGGCAAATATGGTTCATTGAGTTCGATGATTTACCATTAAAAAAAATGGCGATTCTCCAGAGTTTCCTTCGTTTGCTGGAGGGTAAACCTCATCTAACATCTAGCTACATGTAATCACCACAAACCCAACACTTAACTTCGTTATAAACCAACTTTGCTGACTTTGGAGCCATGCCTTTTATAGGTCAAAAAACTGATACCGTCGTGTTGAAACCAAAATAGTTGGTATCAATGGACAATAAAGTACGCCAACCTGTCTTTGGATGCGGTATTTTTCTTGCGGTAGTTGTCATTTCTTCCCTCCTGTCTTTTTGAATCTGAACTCAAATTAATTCAAATCATATATCCAGGTCCTGAATTTCCATGTTTTCTTTACACTGTGTTTCAACATGTTTCAACACTGCCTCCCAACAAAAGACTCGCAGTCAGACTGTAGCCCTGACCCACCTCAGAGACACCAAAAAAATCACGCAAATTTCTGGGATTTGGGGTGAATATACCCTCTGGTTATGTCAAAATAGCTATTGAAAATGGCCATTTATAGCGGATTTACCCATCAAAAATGGTGATTTTCCATAGCAAACTGTTAGTTTACCAGAGGGTACTTGAATCAAATATCACCATTTGTGAGCAGTGTTCAAAACCCAGCGCCGTCCCTTTCTACTGTCTGGTTAATAGGGATTCGCTATTTATGAATCATAATATATTATAATAATCCCCAATATATCGGGTGATATAGTCCCCAAAGTGTTCATCAATCAACCGTCATTTCTCAATTAGATAATATGTTCCACTTTTTGATGGTTAACACCACCATCAAAATGGTTGAGTCACCATTAACTAACTAGTCATCAACCAACTGCTCAGTTTATAATTCGAGATGGTTTTTCATTCTGATATACTGTATCCTGTTTTATCCCAAAAGTGGATCCCTATACATATGTGTATATATATATATATGTATTCCTATTGTTGTTGGTTAAACTGCTCACTGCTCATTTCAACCCTAAAGCTGCACGGCGCAAACAATCGCGCCGCCTCTGTCTGACGATATGCGAGGCTGAAACCTGAAAGAGCAAGCGGTGTGAAAGTGGGGTGTCTTGTGAAATGGAAAATCATTGTATAATCAATGTGATTACCGTATGATTTACCCAAATGACAAATGATAATCCCATGGAATGTATGTCCATTACTTTCTTAATTGGGGATTAATGCAAATACAATGGGGATGTATCGTCTAATGGGGATTCTTTATGGGAACATGGAATTTGCGAATTCCAAACTATACTATAGTAAGTACCAACTCATTGGAAACGTATCACACATATATTCACGTGAAATGCGCAATATGGATCGTGTAATTTTGATCTGTTTTATTGGAATAAATCATGGGAATAAATCATGGGATATCTTCGGGACGATGAGGATTTTCGTGAAAAGAATACCTTCCCAACCATCGACCAAATCATGGATTTATTGGTAATTTGGTACAGTTTGCTACTGAAAAATTGCCATTTAGTGCGTTGATTTACCCACGAAAAAGCTTCGGTGATGTTCCACAGCAAACTGTTAGGTTACCAGAGGGTATGTAACCCCCAACTGAGAGATCTGGCTTATCAAAAATCAACATTCATAAATTAATAATAGGTAAATTATCATAAATCATCTATAAATCATCGTGATTTTCATGGGAATAGCCTCCGGTGTCATCAAAGATGTCCAGCTGGTAAGTCCATGATTTACATGGGCATTAAATGGGCGGTTCATCTGTCATTGGGGGATTTCCATTGGTGTCTTTGCGTACCAAGTACAGGATCTTTAATGTCAATCCGACATGAACATATTTCACTTTGTATACCCAAATCCACATATTTACATAGGCTATATCCCTGCATTTTCCTTTTTCTCAGACATATGTATATATATATGTATGTATCATATCATAAATATATATATATATATATGTATATTATAAGTACATATACAATACATTAGTTTGATGGTATGGCAAAATAATCAACACGGTTGATTGCTGTTGGAAATATTTGGGGAAGCTATGAACCTGTCCAAATCTACAAGCACAAGTACATACTGGTAAATAGATATAGAAACTACATATCATATCTACACTAAGATGTACAAGTTCACTCTGTGATTATCATTGTTTCGTCCCTGTATAATCCGAGATAGATAAATGTCGGTGGTTTATCTAGATATATATATGGATATATATATATATATGTGTGTGGTATAATAACAAACACATTATATAAATATAACTATAACTATAATATATCTCTATGATCCATGGATCAATAATTTTCGCACTATAGATCAATGCTACTTGTAAAGAAGTAACGCATAGACCTTGGATGCGTAAGCAAAGAATACCTTGCTGTAATTGGAAAATATGGCGACCGTTTCACCAGCTGAAACAAACACATTTAAGGGTAAATGGCAGTACATATATTCACCTGTTTTATGTCTACAAAATACTATATATATATATATGTTATAGATATATAACAAATCATCATTTGAGCCCATGAATACCCCCTATCCTATCTCATCATATTAGTTGATTGATAGGTATCCCTATGGATGATACTTAATAATATCAAAATCATCAATCATAACCTAGGTAGTGGAATAACCAATAGCCAATCAACCATCATGCACCGATTAATCCCCGTGCTTCAGGGTTGTAAACCTTATAGATGATGGTTAAATAAGGTTAAATCACCATTGAAAACTCAGTAGGGTGCATGCTTGGTGGTTCATCCCACTTAGTAAGTGGATGTAAGTGGGTTATACGGTTATAACCCCAGTTATAAGTGGATTAACCCTACTTATCCCATGTAAATCACTGGGGTTATAACCCACTTACGATTCGTGGGATGAACCACCAAGTAGGTCGATACCAACCAGTGATCTGTGGTTCCAAATCGATCTGCAGCGATCGTAAAACTGAGCCACCAGGCCTTGGGAACACAGCAAAGGGCTGATGATCCACTTCTTTCCAGTCCTTGGAGAGGGAAACTGAAACTGGTACATGCCAACAACATGTGCTGGTTGGTGGTTTCAACCCGTCTGAAAAATATGAAAGTCAGTTGGGATGATTATCCCAATATATGGAAAAATTAAAAATGTTCCAAACCACCAACCAGTGTGAGGTTATGATGGTATAGCTATGGCAAAAAGTAACATGCAATATTGCAACATATATATGTATATATGCATATAAATACATGATTGTGTCAAGAGATGGGAATACCCCAAGCCCCAAGAAGAAAAAATAAGATCAACCATCAACGGGGTACCATTGGCCCCTATTTTCAAACAAAAATAAAAACATATCAACCCCGGGATAAACCCAGGTACACATAGAGATTACTTTTTATAGGTTCCTCCAACTAGTGGCACATTTCTTACTGAAGTAGTACAACTCCAATTAGACAACATAGGTCCTCATTTCCGAGGTTGGAACTTGACAAGACAGTGCCTATATGTCCCTATATATCCAGCTACATAGAAGAGTATACAGTATTCCGAATGGTATGTACATTAATAATCATCCTCAATGATCCTTAATCACTATTTCTTGTGTGAGATCCTACTCCTCAAGATATAACCTCTGGTAAACGTACAAAAAAACTAATTATGGAACATCACCATGCTATTAATGGGAAAATCCACTATAAATGGCAATTTTCAATAGCTATGTAACAAATTACCAGAGGGTACGGTATGCCCCCTCAAAAAGGTTGCGTATACTCGCCAAACTGAAACGTGATTTTCTTCGTTGGGAGGGCCCTTGGGAGATCGCAGCTATACTCAGCTACACCTCGGCTTTGCGTCCGAAGAAGACAGCGCGGCAAAGATGTTCTGAGTGCATCCTTCTCAGTGTATGTACCCTCTGGTAATTTGTTACATAGCTATTGAACATGGCCATTTAAAGCGGATTGTCCCATTAAAAATGGTGATTTTCCATAGTTCTGTTAGTTTACCAGAGGGTACCCACACACATGTTCATGAAGTAGGCCGCACAGCCAGTCATCTCCTTCTTCGTGACCATTGTATGCGCTATTCTACGCGCGTCTGCGCTTGAAGCACCATTGATAATCTCGGGTCAGGGGCAACGAGATGGATCCAGCCACAACTGCGTGGACAGGTGCTGAGTTTTGTGCTGACACATGTTGTTTAGTTCATTCTGAATGGATAAGTCCATGACCAAAACCAAGCCCCCGCATGGCTACGGATGGCTACGGTACCGACCGTAGCCTTCTCTGAGCTATTGAACCACAACTATTCCGAAAGTTTCTTCAAGAAACACATGGATAATTTGAATCTACAAGTAAGTGAAGTAAGTGTTAAATAGCCCCCGTCAAAACGAAATTTGGTAATCTTGTTTAACTTCATCTGTTTTTTGGATCACAGAATTCCAAAGGAATCATGGTTTCTTCAGCCGCTACAAGGTGGTGCTTTTCAGCACGTTGGTCTTTGTGACCCCATCAAACTTTACTTATGGGACCAACGGGAACCAACTTATGTGGGATTTATGTGGATTTAGTCGGTCTAACGGTTATATCCTTTATCCTTATTATAAAACCACTGAGCTCACTACGGGGCCCGTGTAGCATACTGGGACTTCCAGTACAAACCAGAGTCTTTGACCTCTTGCAATTGGGATGATCCGCAACCGCCACATGGCCTTTGTAGTTCCAAGAGTCTGTCCAATGCCACAACGAGGACCTGAAGTTCCGCAACGAAAGACACGAAAGACTGGAGTGAGTTCCGCAAAATACATAGCTTGAGCTTGGCAGTATCCATGGGATTCTGCATGATGCAAATTATCAACCATTCCAGAAGTATATCAACAACGTAGGTATATGTCAAAGCCAAATGTATACATGACTCTCCCGTGATTGATATTGTGTGAGATTTGTTTGCCATTCAAGTCGTTGGGGGGTTATCCGGGCAATAATCATGACTACCAAGATCACAGAACCCCTGATGCTTGCTGTATATGGGAAAAGAAAACAACAGAAAACAACATTCAAATCGGTATGGGTCAAAGCTGAAGTTTGTCATTGTGCTCAGATAAGCATGCATAACCGATGGGATAATGGCTCAACCATGGGTTTAGATCTAAACTTAGCAGAACAGCTTAAACCTATCCCATTCTTGGGAAAACAATCCAATCATTACTCGGCTATGCTGGATACACGTGGAAAACACCTACTGTACGGACAAAAACAAAAAATCCTATAAGGCAGGGCCCCCAAACAATAGCTAAGCTGGTTTATAAGGTCAACTGTGGTTCATGGACGTTCAACGGTAGATATATCTGGAGTCCAGGGCAAATAGTGGTTAAAAACCAACAAACATAACTGGGGGGCCCTTGTATCTACTTGGAGGTGAACAAATCTTACTTTACAGTATAGCTATGTGTAGTTGAAAAATGTAGTTCATGAGACTAACAAACAGTTTGCAGTTCGCAGGATGTTACAGATACCTGTCATCAGAAAATGTGCAAATTTCAATCAATGGGAATTTCAGGATCCGAAAATGGAGGTACGTTAGTACCATATTTCAGGCCATATTTTGTGGGGATATTCCCTGAAATTTAGGCCTTATATAGGCCTTATATATGGAATCGGTACCTCCAATGAATCGGCATCGATGCTTCTGTCGTGGCATCACCTGCAGCCCGGTTACCATGGTAGAGATAGTTGCCCCTCAATGACCTTATGTCAGATTCGAGTCGCTACGCCAAGATTCGTGGGGCCCCAAAGCAGAAGGCGTGGGGCAATTTATTGCATTGAAAAACACATGAGACTGGGGATATGTGAGGTGTGTCAATTAGGAATGATAGGCATTAAAATCATGTGTATATATAAAATGATAGTCAAATTAATATCGATCTAATCGGACATATATGTTATAACTAGTTGATATTCTTTTTAACATGTGAATGATGTTGTGGCAGTATGGTATCAATTAGGAATGATCAAATCAACATTATGGAGAATAACCTTATGCAAATACGACAATAGTATATTCAATGAGGATAGCAGTAATAATTATGTAATAATATTTATAATTGATAATTGAGGTTATTCAATTGTTCATGGTATCATAATTATCACAATATGTAAAACTTGTGATAATTATGATACCATGAACAATTCATTTTAATACACCAAAATCACAAAAAAAAAAACATCGTGATTCATGGGGATATCATGGGATATGGGGGTGTGACCATCATGGAGTGAATTTCCGTGGTTCAAAATGTGACCATCAAAATGTCTCATGTGTCAAAGCCCATGTCATGTTTTTCTTTGGTGGAATCTACACTTTATAACAGTGGTTTATCATTGCCAATCTTAGATACCCTGCAAAACATGGACCAAATTCTTTGCTGGTGAACGTAGATAATCAGATATTCCCATTAATACCGAAAGACTAGTTAGGATTAATACGTATCCATGTAAGATTGAGCTAGTATATACAAGGTGGTGCCCCCCAGGTATATAAATGGCTTATAATCCCATGAAAACTATCGATATATCACCAAAATCCAGTGGTCAAAATGACGGTCATCACTGCCAAAATGATGCTCATCATCGTAGCAAGGCCATGCGGGGCCAGAAACGGTGGTGAAAAATTTACCATGGTTATACCATCGCCAATCGGCAAACCCCGATCAAAATGGCAAAAGGCTAAGCTGTACCAAACTACTCAAGCAAGGTTGGTCCTAGGTCCAATTCTTGTCTCAAATTATCTGAATTTCATGGTAGTATTGATGGGGAACACATTGGAAACTGATAAACCAGTGAATCAAGGTATCCACCATGTTTGGACAAATCCATATCTGAAAGCCACACTATAATCATCATCTGAAATAAGGCCAGCTGGGAAGGCTTCTCTTTACTACAGTAACCCACAGTTATGGTGAGGTCATTGTGATGTCTAAAATAGAGATATATGATATATTCATTACTACTCTCAACAAGCAAACATCGACAACAACCCCAAGGTAGTTGTTGTATCATCCTATTGAAATCGTAATTACTGGAAAATGACTTTTAGTTTTTTTTGGGGAATGCTATAATTTACCCTCTGGTAAACTAAAATAGCTATGGAAAGTCACCATTTTTATTAGGACAACTCACTATAAATGGCCATTTTCAGTAGCTATGTTAGTTTAACAGAGGGTATTGGGAACAACCAGTTTGTCAGTCATCTGCACAGTTCATTCGACCGCCAATCCAGGGGGTTGAATCTGACAGAGATGGCAGTGTGATCTCTTAGCTTTTGGACGGGTAGATACGTACCCGGATTGACACTTAGCCACATACTGCTACGTTTCTGTGCCAAAAATTTTGTTTCTACACTTCTTTCCAACTTTGTCCTCAATTTGCGCTAGCTATTCCTTTTCGCAAAACTTGGCCTCCTTCCAATCACGGACACACAAAAACAACAAGAGTCATTTTTTCGCAGCGGGTTCTTCTGGTTGTGACAACAGCACAAGTACACAGTTGTGGGTACATGTTTGGGTGCTTGAATCAAGTGAACATGATCCTTGAAACTGTACGTCAGTATACCATAATAATGTGGGGAGCATATGTGATTATGACCGATTTTTACAATATTTAAACCACGTTGAACCCATATCAACAAAGTTTCTGCTTATTAAATCGAGATTTTAGTGTGCTGTGGCCATATTATGTCGGATTTGCTTAAGCCACCTCGAAAACAGAAATAGGTCCCGTAGCTTCTTCGGTTTTAGTCATTTTAGTCAATTACATATTATGCATATATACATGTATATACATATATATATATATATTGTATGTATAAATATATACCGTACTGCACGTTGTGACCATTATAGACGTCATCTTCCGCAAATCCAAGTTACTATTGGTTTCGCCCCATCATAGCAGCTGTTTCACCAGATTCTGTTGGCAAAATCCAAATTTTATTGAAAATGAATACTGGCTAGGCTAAACCCCTGCGCATCATTGTACACTATTTAATGTGTTGAAACAACCTTTCGTATCCTTTCAGAGGTTTTCTGAAATGGGGGTACTCCAAATTCATCTAATTTTCTAGGATTTTCCACTATAAACTTATAAACCATCCATTTTGGGATACAGGTCGAATCCCGTCAACCAAATGCTAAAAAGGTACCAGTGGGAGCCAGGGGGAGCTCTTCGTATCGCGGGCGGTCAAAGTATGTTTGACCGAATCCAAGCAGACGATCAGTGCATTCACGAACCCTTTCCTTGAAATGGCAGAAGATCTGATCGCACGGCTGCCCTTTGGCTGACCATCCACCAGGCTGCGCACACGGCAACTCTACGTTGCAAGCCTCAGACCATCGGAGACGACGGGCATCATGGCCCTTTGTTTCTGAGTGGCTGCCTGTAAAGGCATCACAAACCAGCAATCCACGATGCTCCATGCCCAGGTTGCATTCTCGCCGCTTCAGCTTGAACGCGTGAGAGTAGAGATTTTCGTAGAGGTTGACCACTGTCTCTGCATTGAACATATGAGTTTCAGAGGAATTCATGATGAAGAGGGCTTTCCCCAAGAACTGCTTGTTCAATTCCTGGATCAACTTCCCTGGAACAGCCTGGTGAGCGACGCTTATGGCGATGGGACCTGGTGTCCCATCACCCCATATGGAGCCACAAAAGGTGAAACTCTTTCTGCCTCAGATCTGATGTATGGAAACCAGCTTTCGTATGGCAGTTTTCATGCTGAGCATTCCTTGCCCCCAAGCGCTTTGCCCAGGCGCTTGAACAGAGGCGCTCCGTTGTCCGTCTCACCCTGCAGCTGGAAGACCTGGGGCTGGAGATACCTGGCATCCTGCCAGCTATAGTAAAAGATAGAAAAGTAAAATCCGGCTCAATTCATAGTGCGGTGAATAATGGGAATATCATATGTTGTACTATTATGTACTGGGACATAGAGCAACTTGAGAGTGTGAAAATCGAGTAAACCCCCAAAACCGCAACCAATATCACGTGCCATTGGCAAACACAATGACTCGCGTACTCATACTCAATAAATTTGAATGACCAAGCCCCAACATCAAATCCTGCTGTCATCACAATATCCGACTGTCAAGGTCAAGCAATGTCCTTTTGGTAAAACTAGAGGGGCCGGTTTGGTATACCATCTATCATCATTTATATGTTGTGAAAGGGGTAGTTTCAAAACCCTCTTTTTTCATCAACCAACCAATGGGAATTTGGGACATCTATGAGGTCAAGTGACGTCATTCATCAAGGCCTTTCGCGAGCTGCAGAGTGGGCTGGTGATTTGAATCGTCTTGTTGACACGGTCGAAGATGCTCCCTGCTACCACCTCCTCAGGTTGGGATTCTCGTCGTTCTCGTCCCAAAAAATGGGGGTACCCCAATAGCTGAACCGGAAAATCTATGGAAAATCCGTGGAAAATCCATGATAATCCTATCAAAATGGGGGGACCATCATTATTTTCCATGATAACCTGTCAATTTTAATAGGATACCTCCACATTGTTTCCAAATTTTACCCCCCATGGATTGGACACTGCACAGGTTTCCAAGATGAAAACTGAAAACTGATGAACACTATACCTATCACACTCATACTTCCAGCTTTGCAACTTTTATGATTGCTATATAACTACTTGCATTCAACAATTACTACTTCCTTATAACGGCCAAACTTAGATACCCCGCAAAAAAAAAGTTCTTGTGTTTCGTAGTCGGTTGTTATATCCAATTATAGCAAAGGACTTAAAAGCTAAAGTGCCTAGTACTCAAGCTTGGTTTCTCCAGTTCCATTAGATATATCCTTTCTTGTTGCTTGAAACCCAATAAAAATTGCTGGAAAAATCCCCTATGCTGAGTGGTGAACACATCCAATTCTTGGCCTTTGCCCAATATCCTATTTCGTATTCCCATGATGTTGCCATTGATTGTTGCTTAATCCCTCTTTTTGATAAATGGTTTAATGGTTCAAGTGTTTTTTTAAAATTTTGCGGTAGTTAAACCACTGCATCAACCCGTTGAGCCATTAGATATACCTCTACCCGATCTCATTATATAATTATAGTCGCCAACATTCAAAAACCAGGTAGGATTAAACTCTAAACTCCATATATAACTCCTGAATCAATCACCAATATCACCAATCAAGAAGGCCATTCTTTGTGGCTCAGTTCCGATGGGCGTTTCCACCTTGAAACATGGCAGGTCCAAGGCTCTCCAACGATGGGTGAAAAGTTCAACCTCAGCAAATTGCCAGGCTGGGCTGCCAGAACGCCAAGGTGGTAGCGGTGGAACTCCAGGGTGGAAAACCCTAGAACAATTTTAACATTTAAACACCAAATGACAAATGAGGGTTTTAATGGGAGTTATAGTTTATTTAGGATAGCCAAGTTGGTTGAAAAAAAATAACATCAAATAACTCACTCCACTAAGTGTTGGGTTTATGGATGTTGATGATAAATATCCAGTTACTTTGGTTTATAGCCACCAGTTCCATAACTCCGGGGCACCACCTTTTTGGTATGCAGAAAACAGGTTTTTTCCAAGCACCCAAGGTACGTTTGGGGGAATAAATTGATGTAAATTGGACAAATATAGCGGTAAAATAATGATTTTACAACCCTTGTGGCTATCATTGGAGCAACCAAAACATGGAGGCATCAACTGAATCGACCAAAAACAATTTTGCGATTTATAGGTGATTGACGATAGCTACGTTGGTTAACTAGGTTCATTATATGATGTATGGTTGTATGAACTGGTTATATAAATGGGTTGACAAAAAAACTGGGGCAGCAATTCGAAATAATACATCATCTTTCCATCCTGATGCAGAGTGGTGATATCCCTGGAGCGGTAAATTCCCCGTTACAACCCATTAAAAAACCTCAGATGTATTGGCGAATTCCTCCATTTTTCTCAGTTGAATCCTCTGTACAAGAGTCTTGTTTGATTACCAAAGGGTACGTATCCCCATCAAACAAAACTAAATTGCTGGATGGATTCCCAATTTTTAAATTTATAACTACCATCGAAAACCAACATGAAACAGATTACAACCGCATATGTATGAAATCCATATATTCAAAAGAAAATGGTTGTGACTGAAAATGGTGTAGATGTATACCCTCCAAATGGCAATGGAGAAATACGATGATGATGCAAAATCATTTTTTGCGGCATCTGATTTGAATCAAAACCATACAGTAATATAACGCCCAAATAAAACCATATAAAAACAAAGGAAAACTATGAAAAACAGAAAAAAACGCATATAAAACTATAAAACCCATATAAAACCACATTAAACCCATTTAAGAACAACTTAGATCCTTGGGAATGGTGACTTCTCCATCCTCACCCGACTCAGCCAAGCCGAGGGACTTGATCCTGGGAGAGCAAGTTTGGGTATGTAAAACCGGGAAATGGTTTCTGAATGGTCCTGGTTAATATATGTTAATATATGTATATATGTTAATATATGTTAATATATGTTAATATATGTTAATATATGTATATATGTTAATATATGTTAATATATGTTAATATATGTTAATATATGTTAATATATGTTAATATATGTTAATATACATGTTAAAATTATGTAAATATGTATATGTTGATATAAATGTCAATATATAATATGTCAATATATGTTAACAAATATTAATATATGTTAATACATTTTATATTTGCTAATATATGTTCATATTGTGTAAAACAAATGTCAAATGCTAAGAGATGTTAATATATGTTAATATATGTTAATATATGTTAATATATGTTAATATATGTTAATATATGTTAATATATGAAAACATATGAAAACATATGTTAATATATGTTAAAATTGTGTTATACTAACATATGCTAATATATGTTAGTATGTGTTAATATGTTAATATATGCTCATATATGTTAATCTAGGTTAAACATATATTAATGTATGTAAAATATATATGTTAATATATGTTCATATTATGTTAATATGTGTGAATATATGCTAATATACACACATATATACTAATAAAACAGACATAATATGTTATTCCCACATCTTTGTGTGGGGTTCTTGTTTTTGGTTCTGTATCCCGCCTCCGCCTCCTCCCGCTCCCGCTCCCGCCGCTTGTACTCCCACAACTTGTCCACACGCAACTTGGCCTCACACAACTTGCTCTCACACAACTTGTCCACACGCAACTTGGCCTCACACAACTTGTCCACACACAACTTGCTCACACACAACTTGTCCTCACACAACTTGTCCACACACAACTTGCTCACACACAACTTGTCCTCACACAACTTGCTCACACACAACTTGTCCACACACAACTTGTCCACACACAACTTTGTCACACACCTTGTCCACACACAACTAGCTCACACACAACTTGTGCTCACACAGCTTGCTCACACACACACACAACTTGTCCACACACAACTTGCTCACACACAACTTGTCCTCACACACAATGCTCACACACAACTTGTCCACACTCAACTTGTCCTCACACAACTTGTCCGCTCACAACTACTTGTCCACACACAATTTGCCTTGCTCACACACAACTCAACTCACACACAACTTGCTCACATATCACACATACAACTTGTCATCATATAACTTGCTCACACACAACTCAACTCACACAAAACTTGCTCACACATACATCTTGTCATCATACAACTTGCTCTCACACAACTCAACTCACACAACTTGTCATCACACAACTTGTCCACACGCAACTTGCCTTACTCATACATTACTCATACACACACACACGTGTCATCACACAACTTGTCCACACGCAACTTGTTCACACACAACTTGTTCACACACAACTTCCTCACACACAACTTGTCCACGCACAACTTGCTCACACACAACTTGTCCTTCCTGACATCCACCTTCGTGCCAGGCGTGGCACTTGGCGACATCCACCTTCGTTTCACGTGGCAGGCGTGGCACTTGGTCACATCCATATTCGTTTCACGCCAAAAATAATCCCAAATAGAGGTCTATTATTGGGTATACCCCTATGACTGGGACGATGTCCAATGACCAGTCTTGAGATAGTAACCTGCAACAAACCAAAAGATATAAAAGAGTCAAATCCTACTGAAATGGAAGTCTCTTAAACTGAGGGTACCCTCAGTTCTCATCCATTTTAACAGGATTTTCCATTATGAACCATCCATGTTAGGGTACCTCCATTTATGGAAACCCCCAAATATGAGCAAATTGTGATAATTCACGAACCTGAAATAAATAAGGCTAATATTGGGATCATTCCAATTACTACCCATCATAACCACCCAGATAAACAGGGCATCCAGCCATTAGGAAACCCAAACCGTTTTCATCGGGACACTTGGAGAGTCCAGGATATGATTTTTTCGATCTTCAAATCCTCAAACTCCATCATCCATATGAAAACTTGGTTGCTTCCCAGTTCCTGGATGATTAACCATATATATATACATATGGATAGTATGTATGGGCATGATATGATGAAAAATAGCAATGGAATATATTGAATATGTATATATATATATATCCAATAGTTTTGATGATTAAACATATATGGATGATTTAACATGATTATGCCAAAACTATTGGATAGTATGATTCCCCCAATCATCAATGAACATCTTGAACGCTGCACCAGGCAGCCCACCATCCCCAACCAGGCTGCTGTTTCCAACCGTCGTTTCGGCAATCCATGTACCACTTATCCGACGCTGGCGGCCTTGAGGGGGGAAAACATGGCAGAGTTTGGGTGCGTTTTCTTCACCCCAACTGGGAGTAACTGCATCCTGAACTAAGTACTTGGTGGTTAAGCTACCAATAAGTGGGAGAAGTAAGGTTAATCCACTTATAACCAAGGATATAACCTACTTAGAAAGTGAGAAGAACCACCAGGTAAGGACCATGAAGGAACCCCCTGCCACATGTTTTTTCACCTGACACTTGTCCACGGCGTCACGTATACTTTGATAGTCTTTGATCCCTGGAGCTGGCAAAATGGTGAAGGATGATCCACAAATCATGACTGGTTATATATATATATATAAATATATATAAGCACCGTTGCTTCATACCTTTTGACCCCTCAAATTGCAACACATGTTTATGCCAGCAGGGGGGAAAACCGCGCCAACGTTTTGGCCGTTTTCGAAAACACACATATTTTATCCGTCACATGCACATTCACGTTACGTCACTGGGTTCGGGGGGTGGGGATGTTAACGTTCATGTTAACTTGCGTCACATGCAGGTCTGACGTTACGTCACTGGGTTGCGGGGGGTGGGGTGTTAACGTTCATGTTAACTTGCGTCACATGCACATCTGACGTTACGTCACTGGGTTGGGGGGTGGGGATGTTAACGTTCATGTTAACTTGCGTCACATGCACATCTGACGTCACGTCACTGGATTGGGGGGTTGGGGATGTTAACGTTCATGTTAACTTGCGTCACTTGCACATCTGACGTTACGTCACTGGGTTGGGGGGGTAGGATGTTAACGTTCATGTTAACTTGCGTCACACGCACATCTGACGTTACGTCACTGGGTTGGGGGGTTGATGCGATGTGGCGACTATCTAAGTCTGCCATACCATGGAGTCTCTCGCCCAGATCCAACGGCCATGTTAACCCAAAATTGATGCGAAGCATCAGGGTGTGGCAATGGCGATGGACGAACTCCAAGACCAAGAGTCTTTTGGAGCTCACTGGTCGCGCCTTGAAGAACCGTATGGCAATGTAAGGGGGAAAAAAATAGCGCGCACCTTTTCAGGAACAAATTCCCTGTAAATTACAGGTCATCATCAAAAAAACACTTCAAATTCCCAGGGAATTTTAAGCCTACGAGTACCAGACTTGACACCCTGCTTTCGTAATGTAATAGATGCCCCAACTCATGATCAGGATGGAATGTGACATTCCCCTGATTAATGCACGTATGGCATCATGCAATACACCAGGCGCCAGTCCAAACGGATTCTGGCTCAAGTCGACGAATTCAAGCAGAAGCATGGCGGCCGCTGTCTGTAGTGGTTCGGGGATGCTTCCGTCCCAGGCCCTGACATCACGTCCAAACCACAAAAGTCTGCGCTGCAGTCCGCGTAAAAGGTTTCCAATGACCAAAGTAGGCGTGCAACAATTAATAGAGTCCCCGAGCGTAAAAGGAAAAAGCGTCGATGCATACAGCCCAAAGATGTGCTTGACCAAATGGTGAAACACAATCTGGAAGACGAATTGTTCCATTGAGCCTGTTCCCAGGACAACACGGTCTTTTGGAGCGTTTTCTTCAGCCCAACTGGGAGTAGCTGCATCCTGAACTAAGTACTTGGTGGTTAAGCTACTTATAAGTGGGAGAAGTAAGGTTAAAGGATATAACCTACTTAGTAAGTGGGAAGAACCACCAAGTAAGGACCAAGGACCCCCCTGCCACATGTTTTTTCACCTGACACTTGTCCACGGCGTCACGTGTACTTTGATAGTCTTTGATCCCTGGAGCTGGCAAAATGGTGAAGGATGATCCACAAATCATGACTGGTTAAATATATATATATAAGCACCGTTGCTTCATACCTTTTGACCCCTCAAATTGCAACACATGTTTATGCCAGCGGAGGGAAAACCGCGCCAACGTTTTGGCCGTTTTTGAAAACACACATATTTTATCCGTCACATGCACATTCACGTTACGTCACTGGGTTCGGGGGGTGGGGATGTTAACGTTCATGTTAACTTGCGTCACATGCACATCTGACGTTACGTCAGTGGGTTGGGGGGATGGGGATGTTAACGTTCATGTTAACTTGCGTCACATGCACATTCACGTTACGTCACTGGGTTCGGGGGGTGGGGATGTTAACGTTCATGTTAACTTGCGTCACATGCACATCTGACGTTGCGTCACTGGTTGGGGGGTGGGGATGTTAACGTTCATGTCACTTGCATCACATGCACAGCTGACTTGCGTCACTGGGTTGGGGGGGTGGGGATGTTAACGTTCATGTTAACTTGCGTCACATGCACGTCTGACGTTACGTCACTGGGTTGGGGGGGTGGGGATGTTAATGTTCATGTTAAATTTCGTCATATGCACATCTGACGTTGCGTCACTGGGTTGGGGGGGTGGGGATGTTCACTTTCATGTTAACTTGCGTCACACGCACATCTGACGTCACGTCACTGGGTTGGGGGGTTTGATGCGATGTGGCGACTATCTAAGTCTGCCATACCATGGAGTCTCTCGCCCAGATCCAACGGCCATGTTAACCCAAAATTGATGCGAAGCATCAGGGTGTGGCAATGGCGTTGGACAAACTCCAAGACCAAGAGTCTTTTGGAGCTCACTGGTCGCGCCTTGAAGAACCGTATGGCAATGCAAGGTGGAACAAAACACCGCGCACCTTTTCAGGAACAAATTCCCTGTAAATTACAGGTCATCATCAAAAAACCACTTCAAATTCCCAGGGAATTTTAAGCCTATTCTGGGGAATGAATCAGTAGTTTCGCTATGGCGAAAACGACATCTTTTTTCAAAACGCTCAAAACGCTGGCACGGTTTTCCCCCCGTCGGGATGTTTATGTTGCCAAAGAGTGTTGAGATTGCCTAAATTCAAGATTCCGCCTTCAGGCGGATTTTCTGCCCGAATCATTGTTCAAGCTGAGAAAACAGATCAGGCTGAAATTCGAGCTCAAATGAAATTTAAGGTGTATATATATATATCTATCTGGTTGGTGGTTTGAACCCCTCTGAAAATATTTGTCAGTTGGGGTTATTCTTCCCAATATATGGAAAAATCAAACATGTTCCATCTAAACCACCAACCATATATATATATATTTAAAATGTGACTTACTCCTCGGGCATGTCCCGTTAGTCCCATCCAGGCACCTTGTGGGATCTTCAGATACCTCAGGCGGTGATGGAAGCTCCCATCTACAATAATTCAATATGACTAAATATCAATGGTTGTGTATGTGTAAACATATATATATATATAATTATTTGAATAGCATATATCATATCACAACATAATAATAATAATAATATATAGACTGATGAGAAAAATAAAATGCCCACATGTCAGTACATATGCATTCATATAGAGCAACCCAGAAGCAGAGGCAGAAAACTGCTGAATGCTATAGAATCTACTACCCTCCGCGAGTTCATAAGAAAAATCAGCTGTCCATGCCCAGTTTGAGCGGTTCGATCCTGGTGTTGGATACATCCTGAAGGATCTAGATGTCTATATAAAGCTGGTTGGTGGTTGACCTACCCCTCTGAAAAATATGAAAGTCAAATCGGATGACTATTCCCAATATATGGAAAAATAAAAAATGTTCCAAACCACGAACCAGAAAGAGATATGTATATCTAGAAATAACTATGTATATCTAAACATGTGTATACACACCACTGGATACGTATGCATGTAGTATGTTTACATATTGTAGATCATACAAATCACAAAACTCATGCACTCTTTTACGAATCATCCTGACTACATCGCCACTTGTGTTCATTGTTCCCAGTCTTTGCAACTGATGCAAACTTGTGTGCACCAAATGTTCACTTCAGACCCCATCCAGTCATGCTGGTTCTAAGTCCCCATGCCGGACATAGCACCAATTGTCACTCAAAGGTGCCTGTTGCATCTTTGTCACATCGTAATATCATATAATAAAAACACTAATAAAAACAATAATAGTAATGATAAAAATCATCATCATCATCATCAACAACATTATCACCCAATCCATAACCACTGGGTAAGGCTCAAAATCATGTACCTCAAACATGGGATTACCAGTTCTTAACCAACATTCGTTGGTCCGCTGTTTGATTATTCAATTTCATTTTATCTTGGTTAATGGCACCAAGTTTTGCCGCGTAAATTCACATCCCCTATTGTAGAAAACAACTGCGGCAACTGATCACAGTTCCTAAACTTCAAACTGGAAATACGCCTCATTCCCCCTTCTAACAACCACGTTTTGCTGAATCATCGGGCCGTTGTGAAGTTTTTCTTTCTGAGGAACCGCGTATGCCAAGTAGTAGCCTGGATTGCAGAGTGTCGGACTCCTCAGGTGCCCACGAGTCTGCAATCGGCAGGCTTCGTTGGGGATGACACGGCAAGAAGATAGTACTACTTGGTGGTTCATCCCACGAATCCTAAGTAGGTTATATCCCTGGTTGTAAGTGGGATAAGTAGGGTTAATCCACTTAATTATAACTAGGGTTATAATCTACTTACGAAGTGGGGTGAGCAATCAAGTACCCTCTGGTAATGAATTTAACATAACTATGGAACAAAGATTGTTTTTCGGAGGTAATTCATCTCTAAGTGGACCGTTTCAAAAGCTATGTTAAATTACCGGAATCGGATGGTAAGTATAACAAAATAATATCGATAGTAAAACGATAATGATGGAAGTAAAATCAATGATAATAGTAAGCGTGATGGTACACATACATATTCATCATCAATAAAGGCAATAACTAAAATCACATGCACTCAAGTGTATGTTATATGTATCTGTCGTGTTCAAGTGTATTTACCCTCTGGTAATTTAACAGTTTGCTATTGAAAATGGCCCATTTAGGTCGTTGATTTTCCCATGAAAAATGGTGATTTTACATAGTTTTGTGTATGTTTACCAGAGGGAACATCCACCATTTTTAATGGGGAAATCTAACATAACATCTATGTTTTAATGTTAGTTAGTTATGTTAGTCATGGTCCATAGTTAAAATGGTGATTTTCCTTAAACACCGATCTTTTGCAACGCACCAGAGCTGAGTGTTTTGTTTGTTGGTGGTTGACCTACCCCTCTGAAAAATATTAGTCAATGGGAAGGATTATCCAAGATATTATGGAAAATAAAAAATGTTTGAAACCACCAACCAGTAATAGATATATCACCTATATTGGAGTTATAAACCAACTTAGCTATCTTGGGAGCACCACCTTGCAGATTGGGTAAAGGGGATATAACTAACTGGTTGGTTGTTTTAACCATCTTGAAACATATGAAAGTCAATGGGGATCATTATTCCCAATATATGGAAAAAATCATGTTCCAAACCACCAACAAGAAACCATCCCCCAGTCATCACCATTACTATAGATGGTATGTTTACCATTCCCAAATGGGGTGTAGTTTATTAGTGTTTTAACCACATTAGATCAAAACCAAAATCATACATATGACACAAGTATATTCTATATTATGGGATTTTAAGATAAGGTAACCCCAATACTGAACAATTCCACGAAGTTGATTTTCTTAACCTTTAGGGTGTGAAAGAACATACCCCAAAAGGGGGTCTGTTTTGGGGTTTACCACATTACAGGTATCGTGCTATACTACATCATTATGATAACATATCATACCATAGTAAGCGTTGTATATAATGTCATATATGTAAATTGTAAATATATAGATATACACATTCACGGGACAGCAGCGAAAGGACACTAAATTGTTTGTATGTGTTTGTTTTTAATGTCATCTACTTATGAAAAATACACATTCAATGAATAAGTAGAATATTGATTATATTACTTATATGACTATAGTTTACAGTAATGTAGATTACAATATGTTTACATGTCATTACTTAAACTTATATTACTTATACCAAACTAGTTGGGATGTGGAAATCTACTGTAATGGTCCAGGCTCTGTCATTGGGATCCGACATCCTATGCTGGGCCAAATGAACACACCCAGGGCTTTGGGGTACGTTTTGGATTTGGCCAATGCGTGCAGAAACCATGATGTCATGTTTAAAAAAAAACAAGAAGTGTCCCAAATGATCTTTTATGTATATATATATATTTATATACATACATGTATGTGTATGTATGTATTTTTTGCAATGTAATGTAACCTAGCGCAATGTATGTACGTACGTGTCTGTATGTATGTGTGTATGCGTGTGTGTATGTCTGTGTATGTCTGTGTATGTCTGTGTATGTTTGTCTCTGTATATGTTTATATTTACGTATAGT